TATCGCTTCCTCTTACCATAGCTGTCAGATGCATAAATTTGCCTTGAGTGAGAAAGCAAGCGAGAACCTCAATATTACGGCTTAATTACAAGTGTTCAAAAAGATTCAGACCACAGAGATGATATGATACTGCAGACTCCTTGACATCTCGTTCAAAGACCAGGTTTCAAATGCTGAGGTACGAAAGAGAATCACCCACGCAGTGGGGCAATATGAAGACCTACTGACCACAGTGAAGAGACGAAAATTGAAATGGTATGGGCATGTCACAAGATCCACAGGACTCGCCAAAACAATCCTGCAAGGAACCGTAAAAGGAAAGAGAAAGAGAGGAAGGCAGAGAAGGAGATGGGAGGACAACAGTACAGAGTGGACAGGAAAGACGATGGGTGACAATCTGAAGAAAGCAGAGGACAAAAATAGATGTCAAGAGCTGGTTTTCAGATGCAGTGGTGCCCCCACGGTTGCCCCAACCACGGGATAGAAGAAGAAGAAGAAGAAGAAGAAGAAGAAGAAGAAGAAGAAGAAGAAGAAGACAAGTGTTCATCACCAGCTTAGATTATTTGCTTTGACGTTTGACAGTTCATGATGACGAAGAACTTTTCACACAGATACATATGTGAGGCAGCGTGGTGGAATCAGACTATCGTCAAAATAATCAAAATGAAGAAACTTGCTTTTTTCTGCAGTTTTTTTTGAATTCTTATCAAATTTTTGTTTTGTTGGCTCGAGACCTTTCCTGCCCATTAAGAAACTCATTTCAGTGTGGATTTTTCTGAAAAACGTTGATTAAAGGCACAAAAATGTAAATTTTCAGTTACCACGGATTCTTAAGCTAAGGAATTTTTAGTTTTAGTAGAGGTTTTACGGCGCTCGCAACGGCATAAGGTCATATGGGTGCAAGCTAAGGAAATGACTAATCTTTGGCGGCCATTTTCTCACTAATTTTACTTCTGAAAACAAGTGACCCCCACCTCCTTCTTTCGCAAATATCTCGACTTGTATTCAAAATAAATGGAGATTTTTTCATCGAAAAAAAAGACAAGTGAACAAGCTTTAAGATGATACCAATAACTCTACATGCCCAAAAATTGACGAGAACCTGATTCCACCACGCTGCCGCACATATTATATTTGCTACCCAAAAGGCACACGGTCCCCTTGAACTTCCTGGAAAGTTCAGGGAATGTTGATACAGTCGCACCTGATTTCTTGCCCACCCGTATAAGACAACCACCTGTATAAACGACCACTACCCATTACTACTCTTTTTACACTATATTATTACCCCAGCAGACCATAGAACACCCCAAAACATTCTCAGCTTCCCGGGAAGCATACAGTGCAAGCAGCTGATTAAGCGCTCAAACACTAACAAACTGACAATTCTGAGCTCAGGCTTTCTTACGCCATGGCCATCCAAGCGAAGTTAAGTTCTTTTGAGCTTAGAAAACAGCCAAATACCACTGTAAATTTCGTTGAAATATTGGAACTTGTAATATCACGAAATATTGTCAAAAATGGCTGCCGCATGGCACAAATCCCCTTTCTTTTGCTTGGTCGTGTCACCTTTTCTGCAATTAGGATATCTGTTTTTGTTTTTGTAAAGTGTTTTACGGCGCTCGCAACTGCACAGGTCATATGAGCGCGCGGGACACACCTAATATTTTCAGTTGGTAGGAAATTTTGAATTTTGCCCGGGTGGCGGCCGAAGCCTACTCTTATTGATTTTAGACCACCAAGGGATCTTTAACGTGCGCAACTTGCACACGGGCCCTCCGAGATTTTTAGCCCTTGTCCGAAAAGGCTAGGTGTAGATCTTTCCTACCAGAAGATCAGGGGTGTGGCAGAAAGACAGCAGTAAGGAGGAGCCAAGGAGTAGCAGTAGAAAGGCTGCAGAAAGAGTCAGGAGCCCAGAGGAGGGGCAAAGGAGGTGAAGGGGTGGGGGCAGAAAGTGGAAATGAAAGCCGACAACAGAACATTGCTAGAGAGCAGGAAAGGAGGTGAAAGGAGACAATTTTAGAGAAGAAAATTTTTCGGTTTTCGGTCGCTACCCGGATTCGAACCCGGGACCTTTGAATGAGAGGCCAACACCTTAACCTCTAGGCCACGAGAGCCCCCTTTTAGGATATCTAACGTTGAGAAATAATGTAGGCCTGCAATGTAGAAAATGTAAAAAATGGGGAAAAATCTGAGAAGTTCTGCTTTAAGCACTAGAAACTAGAAATATCGCAATAGACGGACAACTAAACCGGTACACAAATGATTTGTGAGGCAGCGTGGTGGAATCAGGCTCTCGTCAAAATATTCAAAGTGAAGAAACTTGCATTTTTACCGCAGGTTTATCAAATTTTTGCTTTTTGGCTCGACACCGTTCATGCCATTGAAAGAACTAATTTCTGCGTGGAATTTTCTTTAAAATGTTGGTTAAAGGCACAAAAAATGATTTTCAGTTACCACGGACTCTTAAGCTAAGGAAATAACTAATCTCTGGCGGCTA